GGAACAGAATGATTGTGGGAGGTGGATGGAGATGGTGACCTGAGAGGGAGAGAGGAGTGGAGGAAATAAGGGGGTCAGTATCAGGAACTGGATGAGATGTGAGAGAGGTACAGAGGGTCAGGAAATTGAACAAAATAGGTAGCAGGGAGGATAAGGAACTGGGGATAGCTACTGGAGGGTCCCAGACACCAGGAAAACATGAGGCTTCCAGGACCCAGTTGGGATGACTTTAACTTAAATGGTCAGAAAAGAGGGAGATAGAACCTATAGAGACCACCTCCAGTAGATAGGTAAGGACCCTGGTTGAGGTATAGAGTCACCCACCCATCTCAAAAATTCTTAACCCAGAAATTTTCCTATCCGAAGGAAAAACAGGGACAAAAAATGGAACAGAGACTGAAGGAAGGGTCAATCAGAGACTGCCCCACCTTGGGATCCATCATGTCTACAGACACAAAACCCAAAACTGTTTCAGTGGTAAAGGGGTACTTGCTGACAGGGACGTGGTGTAGCAGTGCCTTGGGAGGCCTGGCCAACAACTGACCAATGCAGATGTAGATGCTTGGAGCCAACAATCAGACTGAGCTCAGGGAACCTGGTGGGGGAGCTGGCAGAAGGACTTGAAGAGCGGAGGGGAATTGCAACCTCACTGGAAGAACAACATAGGCTGGTCTGATCACCTAGTTCTCCCGGAAACCAAACCACCAACCAAGGAGTGTACCTGGAGTGAGCCATGGCTCCAGATACATATGTAGCAGAGGATAGCCTTGCCTAACAGCAAAGCGAGGGGAGGTCCTTCATCCCAGGAAGGTTTGATGTCCCAGTGTAGGGGGATGCTGGAGTGGTGTGGCAAGAAAGTGTGGGTGAGGGAGCTCCCTTATACAGGCAAAAAGGAGGAGGGAGGGCAGATGTGGGATGGAGGTTGGTGGAGGAGTAACTGGGAAATGGGTTATCATTTGACATGTAAACAAATGGAATGAATATATATATCCCCCAAAACAGAACAAAACTACCAAAAAAAAAAGAATAAAAATATTGTTTTTCTCCCATAACTGTTACTATGGTGCATTACAATGGTCAAATTTCAAATTGAACTACATTGCATTAGAGTAGTAATTCATTTTATATCACTTACACATATCTGAATTTGATTGCCTTTAAAAAAAAGAAAGAGCATGTCCATGTATGTCTCTAGAAGAGTTTTGCCATTTCTTTCTTACAATGTCCCTTTGAAGTTGGGATGTCATAGTCTATTCCAGTTACTGGCACCCAGATGAGTTTTGATGTGCTCAGTGTGCTTATAAGTTTATACATTTATTTTTGTTCTCATGTGAACATTTGTAATAATTCAACGTGTCAAACGGACTTTTATAATACATTTCTCTAATGGGTATGATTGGTCATATTTTATATATTTTTCAGTTTTGAATTGTAAATGTCATTTTACAGCATTTATCAGATACAACAATATTTTTCTTATAAAATTTTGAAAAATTTGTTTGTTAAATATTAACAAGACAAAATAAATACATTCTGTGTGATGAACGCGATAGCCTAGCCAAAGAGAGCCATGATCCAATAGTTCACATGATTCTGTCACCTGAATACATTCAAATTTATTTTTACCAAATTGCTGCATAAACTCAACACACAAACAACTGTGACGTGTTTCTTGACTCTAAATCTTTAGTACAAGTGAGTTAGAAATAGAGGAACAAGGAAAGAAAAAAGAACAAGAATGAGAGCAAAGAAGGAAGAGAGGGAAAGAGAGTCAAAGAAGACAGACATTGTATATGAAAAATTCATTGGAAAGAAGTGATTTCCTCCTCAATTTTTTCTCCTTGCACCAAGACTTACCAGCAAGTAGAGGAGAGAACAGCCAAGGTTAGCAACAGTAATTCCAGAACACTAAACATATGATAACCAGAAAGTTAGATGTAATATATGACGGTGTAACTTATCTGATGAAAGTTTGTATGTGTGCATTATATAGATGTGTATGCTTACGTGACTTCTCTATCATGAACATGTGGTAATTTCAGTGCTTTATATTTAGAAGAACCAAGGGAGAATTGAGAAATAGAAACTCAATCCCATAGCAAATATAAAAATAGCGTGAGATCTTTTATTTGTTAAAAGCAATAAAGCTAAAAATAAATTAGTGAAACAAAATTTGTAAACATAACTCTTAGATATTTGTATGCTTTTGTTAGTTAAAAGACTTTAGGTAACTTGAGATGTCACAGATAGAGATGATCGGCTGGCATAATAAAGAGAAATAAAAATGTAAATTCAAGGGGCATGGGGAGTAGAATAGGAATCTCAAAAACTAAAGTTTCCAGAAGAAAATAGTAAAGAAAAGGAAGGAAACACAAGATTCAAAGAGAAAACTTAATCTTTTCTAAAAATAGACTTAATGTCCACATAAAATATCCTTAAGGCATGCCTACTGAAACAGTATAAGGAAGTAGTACTTCAGTTGTGTAAACAGAAAGGTATTTCAAAGAGAGAGAAATTCCTAAACGTCTCCCCACAAACCACAGATTATAGAAATGTGGCCAGGAGTTAATGATAAGAAGAAAGTAGTAAGAATGTTATTAGATGATTGATTTAGAAAACCATGTTTGAGACAGGGTCTCACTATGTCGCCCCAGCTGGCCATGCAGACACGGTCACTACATAGACCAGCCTGTTCTCCAAATCAGCCATCCTCCTGCCTCTGCCTCCTTAGTGCCACCAAGCCCAGCTCCTTTCATTTTTAAAAGGTTCCACATTTTCTCTCCATTTTCTTTCAGTCTGTTCCTCTGCCTTTGCATTATTGTGTTTCATGAACTTTAAGAAGCCACCATTGTCACTTTCCTCAGTGAACACCTAGTCAGTATTTGCTTGTAAACTTTGCCTTTACTTCGTACTTCTCCACATAAGTCTGCAAAACTTTTGGGATTGCTTTCCTTCTGTCTAAAACTCCACTATTTTCTCACCTATGCAACTGGATTCATTCTCTCAGTCTTCGCTCAGAAATTTTACCTTTTAAGGCTATACTCTAGAATACTTTTTTTTTTTACAGGGTGGGGAGATTTAAAGACATTGTCTTTATTTTTGTGATTCAGGTTTAAAAGTCAGCTCTTAGCTTTACTGATGCTCCTTTAACATCATTTCATGGAGTTGCTTTAATTTTCTTCCTGCCCTGGACCTTGTGTTGAGCAATGTCCCTATGATATGCCTAAGTGTGACTTGTTTCTTTCAGACTCTGGTTAGGTTGCTCTGAATATTCCCCACATTCAGGGACTCACCAGTGTCACCGAGTGTCCATCATTCTCTCTTCAGATACTGGTTAGCTGCTTCCTATACCCCAGATCTCCTCTCTCTCAACCCCTCCCTCTCCTGCCTGAGCCCCTCTTCCAACAGGTCTCTTTCCTACTTCTAGGTCTTCTACCTGTAGTTCACTGGCATTTGGGGCTTTATTTATTACTTTTCAAAAAACCTGAATGATGACTAAACTCTACGTTTCAAGATCTTATCCTGTCAGTAATTTGCCTTTTTATTGTTCCTTAGCTTTGGTGAAGGGAGTAATTTGGATTAAAGTAAGACTACTTCACTTCATGTAGACTAATAGTTAAGATTTAAAAATGAATAATAGAATATAAAGAATGCTTTTCAATGGCTCATTTTCTGACAAAAGTTCAAGAAATTTTGATGCAGTCTAATCTACATATATGTAATGAGTTATAAATCAATCAGTTCACCAGGCTTATTGAAAACAGTAGAATGCCACAATTATAAATCAATCAATATGCTACTGCTCTGGTATATTAACAAATACAATAATATTTATTACTGTTCATCAGTTTAACTCAAATCAACTGAAGGATACACTGGACAATAAGACAAAATGATGTAACAACGAAAATAGTTTTTGTTGATTGATACGCTCTACTCAAAGATACCAAATAATGCAAAGGCAAAAGTTTTTGAAATCTACTAACGAACAGAGTTAAACAGAATACTCAAACTTTGAAATTTACTTATTTGAAAGGCCAGAGAAACTCTGGAAAATACATACACACACACACACACACACACACACACACACACTCACACACACACTACACCATGCTTGAACTTCTTTGCATGACGAAGAAAAAGAAAAATGTGATGCCCTCAATAATACTGAATTTTCTTTTTGGAAAGATAGGACATAATTCTGATTCTGGGATTAATTATTAAAAGAGATTAATGCAAAGCAGTGATTTAAGAGTTTTATTAAATAAATGGATGACAAACTACACATGTTCTCTTTAATTTTTGTCAAATAAAAATCCAAAACTTTAACCATAGTACATCCAGAACATGCCCAACCAAGTAAGTAAGACAACTACCATGCATTATGCTCACAAACAGAAGTGCCACAACCTTTATGCACATTCATATACCCCTTAAAGTTTATGACTTGGCTAATCGGATGCTTAAAATGGTAGTGAACATGACGTAGTGCTGTTTTCTATTCATGCAGAAAGATTCAGGCAATGTAAGTAATTTTAAACACTCTGTCTTTGAAAGGAGGAAATTGCCTGGAAATGGTTGGTGTCACAAATACATATATTTGAGATAAGTAAAATGTCTTATAAGACCACTAAGAATGTCATTCAAAGACAGTTTATTTATGCTTATCAGATACTAATCACCAAAGTTATTCATATGTGGAGAAAAAGATGAACTATGTTCAGTACACCTAAAAGCCAGAACTTTCATACCAATAAAACAGAAACTGTGAGCAGTATTCATGGTGTGAGGAGATTAGACTAGTGGAGAACTTCATAGGAACAAGATCATTTCTTAAGAAAAGAATTGTACAACGCTTGGGAAATCACACCACTTAGCTCACTGGTTCTCAACCTTCCTAATGTTGGAATCGTTAAGACAGCTCATAGTGTTGTGTTGACTCCTAACCATGAAATGACTTTCGTTGCTACTTCATATATGTGATTTTGCTACTGCTATTTGTGTATCATAAGAATTTTCTGAGGGTCTTAGACGACCGCGGTGAGAGTCCTTCGACCCCCACTGGGTTGTAAACTGTAGGCTGAGAACCTCTGACTTAACTGATTACAAAGCTATCCCTGCAGTGAAGATTTTCCGTAAGTTCTCTCCCAGCGTCCTGAACAAACAGGTTGGGGATCATGGGTTTGAGGAATTTGAACTCACCAGTCTCAGAGTCCCCGGTCAGACACACCTCATATTGGTAGTTGTGGGACAAGGTCCCTGTGCCACTGACATCCACCATGTGGCCAGGAAAGAGTCCCTCAGGCATAGAGCAGCCACCCGGAGAGGCTGCCCTGGCCCTCCTGCACAGCTTTACCCCCACGAAGAGCACCACAGACAAGAGGAAGAGAGAAGACACAGATGCCAAGGCAATGACCAGGTACACAGTGAGCGCATCCTCAACTTCCTGTGAGGGGTCAGGCGCCACCTCAGGCAGAGGTAGGTAGGGCTGGGAAAAGCCATCCACCACTAGCACGTGCAGAGTGACACTGGCAGAGCGCGGAGGATCACCATTGTCCTTGACCAGCAGCAGCAGCCTGTGCTTGGGCACATCGCGCTCGCTCAGCAGCCTGGTGGTGCGCACCTCGCCATTGTGCGCCCACACGCTGAACAGCCCTGGCTCCGTGGCCTTGAGCAACTGGAATGACAGCCAGGCATTCTGGCCAGAGTCGCGGTCCACTGCCACTACCTTGGTGACCAGATATCCAGGCTCCGCAGCCCTGGGAAGCAGCTCAGTGTAGGGCGCAGAGGCGTTCTGCAGTGGGTAGAGCACGAAGGGCGCATTGTCATTGTCATCCAGCACAATTACGTGCACCAAAGCCTGACTGCTGAGCGCGGGTGAGCCTTGGTCTATGGCGCCCACGCGGAACTCGAAGGTCTGCAGGGCTTCATAGTCCAGAGCCCTTAGCGCGAACAGCTGCCCATTTTCGGGGTTAATGGAGATTAATGAAGGGAGGGCCAACTGTGGATCCTGGGGTGGCAGCAGCGAGTAGGTGATGTGGGCATTGGAGCCTGAGTCTGAGTCTGTGGCGCTGATGGTGCCTATGTGCAGGGCAGGGCTGTTGTTCTCGCGGATCAACATGGTGTAGGAGGTTTGGGTGAAGACTGGGGCATTGTCATTGATGTCAGACACCTGCACTGTTATGGTGTGCTGGGTTGTGAGCCTGGGTGTGCCCAGGTCCGAGACAGTGATGGTGATGTTGTACTCAGCTCTGCTCTCTCTGTCCAGAGGGCTCTCTGTCACCAGAGTGTAGAAATTCTTGAAAGTGGATTTTAGAACGAAGGGCAGGTTTTCTGGAATAGAACAAACCACCTTTCCATTCTCCCCAGAATCCCTGTCTCCAACTCTGAAGATGCTGATTATGGTCTCAGGAGCATTTTCTGGGACTGAGCTGGTCAGTGAAGATATGGTCAGCTCTGGGGCATTGTCGTTCACATCCAACACCTCTACTGTTACAAAGCCTTTTCCAGAAAGCCCACCACCATCCGTGGCCTCAATTTTCACATGGTAAAATTTAATTTTTTCAAAATCCAATTTCTTTTTCAGTCTAATTTCTCCTGTGACTTTGTTTATTGAGAAAGTTTTTTGGATTTCATCTGATGCTTGGAACAAGCCATAGGAAACTCTCCCAAAGTTGCCAGCATCTGCATCCCGTGCTAAGACAGTCAGGATTGGGGACTCTGGGGGACTGTTCTCTAGGACTTGCACCTCATAGGGGCTGTTCACAAACTCAGGAGCGTTGTCATTGATGTCCACGATCAGGATTCGAACCAGGGCTGTTCCTAACCTCGGTGGAGACCCACCATCCAGAGCTGTGAGGGTTAAGCTCAGC